TCTTGTTCTAGGCGGTCACTTGACAAAATAAACCTACATTTTTTAGCTCTTTATACAAGATGATTGATCAAGAAAGGTGAAAAATGTGAAAAACTTTCGAGATTTTTGGTAGGAATGGAAAATTTCACATTTAGAGAGATGCATGTAAACGAAAAATCAATGGGAAAATCGAAGCGTTTCTTTCTTCAGTCGTTTATTACTTTGAAGATTTGCTAAAATCAGCAGATATGGCTTTTGTACGGCACAAAACATTCATTAGTCTATAATATGATTGTTAATCATCATCATTGCTCATTTTATTTCATGCTGCGTGTTGGTTGATATTACTAATTGTTCCAGTGTGCTACAACTTCGGCTTTTACAGACGAGAAATTCTGCGCTCTCGCTCGAGAGCAAATATCAATAGTTCTATCGGACTAAGAACTGTGCCTCTATCCCGAAAATAAAATTAAAATAGTGTTGTCGTTGTCACTTACCGCCATCGAACATTTCCATGCAGAACTCCGCTAAGCTAACATCTGTTGTGTGACCCGAAGACTCTTAGTAGGAATTATTCAAGCGCGTTTTTCATGCTATCTGCTAGATAACAATTTCAGAATAATCTGCAGATTTCTATGATTATTTGCCTGCTTCGATCGTAAAATATCTACCTTTTTTTTTCAAGCATTCTATTACTACACATAAATCTACATCTCTCTAGATCGAGTGTTGCCGGCGTTTAATTGCGTGACTTGTAAAATTTTTAAATAAGAATCTGAGTCAGCGGTAATTTGACGAGTAGCCTTCCTGCAAATTTCCCTTGATGAAATCCCAAGACATAGCCAGTTGTTTTCGTGAGCAAAGACAATAAATATGAAAGAAAAGTGAGATGCGAATGTCTTTTTTTTTTTTAGCTTAATAGCTGCAGTCTTCGTCTAAATTGTGCAAGGTCCCTCCTTATCTTCTGCCTTGTTCGGTCAGTTTCAAATTCTGAAGCTAGATCATTGGCATCGGCCTCTCCGTCCTCATTCATATTTACAGAGGGGGACCTCATCAATAAACCAATTTTTGTTACGGCAGATAACCGGCTGAAGTATCGAGCGATTTGCTGCTGTATCAACCGGTCAGTCTTAGACAACATTTCTGGCTGGTGTCGTCTCTTAAATTCTCTCGATATTTGGGAAATCACATTAGAGGCGGTTGCCTTACTAGTTTCCGCGTTCAGAAATCTGTGCACGTTACTGATAACCACCCGCTTCTACGACTAGTTTGCTGAAGGTTTCTAATGTGACGAGCCTAGTGAGACCCTGAGGTGCTTCAAACTGTGCCAGTTGGTCTGCGCTATCTATGTGAGCGCCTCTACAGTACCTGCGTATCCCTAGCAATCATATGATATAAATTTCATCTCAGATCAAAAATCACCAGTTAGGAAAACTGATGTTCAGATAAGCGCTCTTCTTGCCCTTCTTCCTTATTCATCGTCGACTCTAAGATAGCAGCTACAGTACGCGTTCTATTTAGGTTTACAGTCACCTTGCCGCCACCAGAAAGACTCGCCACCAGCTTTGATTTCTTCTGCCATCTGCTGATTCATCTCTCTCTCACTTCATGTCTCCGATTTTTATGAGGAGGATACTAGCATTTACGAACCCAAAGGTCTGAATCTCACACCAAGTTGTGCACGATATTTGAGGTACATCGTGAAATCGCGGCCTTCGTAGTCTCCAAATAAGCCAATACGCGCTAGAATAAGCTCCATCTCGGACGAAACGCATGTTTGGGATACATCGACCTCTCTCAAATGTTTTTTTTTTTAAGCTGTATACCCACGGATTTAGAGGTATGAGCTGTTGCCGTCCCTGGCCAGCGCGAGAAAAGCAATATTTGGTTGTACAGTTAGTTGCAAATGAAGAAGACAACTGCACCATCTTGACTTTATCAATTCGAGTGTTAGATTGAATTGAGGGCTTTTTAGACACTCGATTTCTTATATGGCATCATTATGAAGACGAAATACAACTGATACACCTACACTACACATGATTAACAATGTCTGTTGCGCTGTTGTGAAAAGGAGGAAAATATTACCGGAAGTGTACGCTCTTTTTAAAAAGAGTTTCGGAGACGTTTCAGAGATGTCTATCTTTGATCGGCTGTCACAAAAAAATGACCCCCTCTTAAATTTACCAGGAAAAATGAACTTACCAACTCCTTGTTGAAAAAATTGGAATTCATTTGACCGATACGCCGGTTGTTTCAATTTTTTCTTTTTCCTCGGGCTGCTGTGAAACAGTTCATAAATTGACTAATGAATAAAGTGTTTTGAAACACCGTTCGGGATTTGCCTTTTTTTCTGCGTGCAAATCAAGGGTAGACAAAGTTTTTAAAACATTTGACTAGAAGTCAAGACGCGCCAAGCCAAGCGACATCGCCCTCCAGTAAAAAAATTTTCCAAAGAATAAACGTGGCGAGCGTGAGGAAACACATATTTTTTCACGATTGTGATCAAAGCCCAATGATGTAACTAAATTGGTACTTACGGTATCAAACCATTGATTATGACAAGGTGAGCTTAGTTTTTCTGTAGAGGTCGACTTGACCTCACATTAAAAGCATTTTGACGGAACAAACTAGTGAGCATCATTGCACGAACTGAGAAAGTAAAAACTTGTATTTATCTCCCACGCGTTTCGTCTGACAATAGTAGACTTCATCAAGGCTTTTTCCAAGTAGGGTAAATAAGCTTTCTCATATACAAATAGTAAATAAGTTGTCTCTTTACTATTAAAGTCAGTGGATAGAATACGCCAGGTGCGCCTACGGTGTTATACATGCGTGACATTTTCCGGACATTACATGTACGAGTACGTGATCCGTTTAAGGGTCACAGATATAGGGTAAATATTTCACTCCTCAACATCACCCAATGTCTCTAGTTTACAGAGGTCTTAGAACGTTTCATTATATGGAGTTGCCTTCTGCGGGTAGAAGGCTACAAGCCAATTTCTCAGGCGTAATTGCCTTTGATTTCTCAATTGATGTTGTCGCAAACACAGTTTTTGGGAGTCACGAGACAAAAAAACTTATCAGGACCTAGTTTCATGTTCTAATGGAAATAAATAGCAAATAAAAACACATTTTCTTGGGAAATAAAGTCACAAATGACGGGGGTTCTCTGAAACAGATAGTGATAGAAAAGGATTTCAGTTCTGGTCAATATTGACTTTTCATGGCCTACTTCCAAATCTGAGGGAACGTGCTGAGGGAATAAAAAAACATAAATGTGTGATAATGCAAGCAAGAGAATGAAAATACAAATAAAGAAAAAGGAGAAAACATAGGAACCCGTCTTGCAGCGTGGAGATATCTTTTGAACCAGACCTACACACATAAGCCCGACACCAGCCAGAGAAACTCGAAAGAGTCCTAGCTCGCACGTGCACGCAGGAAAAGCCATGACAATCAGCGAAAATAATCGCAAATGCAGATGATATTTGCAGTCAAAAAGCAGGAAAATAAGATAACAGAAGGATTAGGAACTTAGGAAGTGTCTTCTTGAAAAAAAAAAAACCGAACAATTTTTACTTCTCATAAAAGGTCACGCAGTGACCCTACAAATACTATTCCTATACGTGGAATTTCTTGATGGTGGAAAGTGGAAAAAACATTTTCCAGTCTTATTTTCTGGAAACATGGCGTAGTTAATGAATTTATGGGGCTATTGATATTTCCTAACAAATAAGGGGGGCAGAGTTTCCCGTCATTCGCGGTATGGAAAAGCCGAAGTTGTTACACTCGGGAACTTGTACGTCAACAAGCAGGCGACATGTGACTTTAAAATCTCCTCTCCTGTTACAGTTTCCTTATTGTGAACTATGCGATAATGATAATAGACGATCAGAGTATAGGCTAATGAATGTTTTGTTCTGTACAAGAGCCCTATATCCTGATTTTAGCAAATCTTCAAAGTAATAAACGACTGAAGAAAGAAACGCTACGATTTTCCCATTGATTTTCCGTCAACATGCATCTCTCTAAACGTGAAATTTTCCATTCCTACAAAAAACTTCGAAAGTTTTTCACATTTTTTACCTTTCTTTACCAATCATCTTGTATAAAAAGCTAAAAAATGTAGGTTTATTTTGTCAAGTGACCGCCTAGAACAAGAATTGCGTGACAGGTGTAGTCGATAGAAACTTGTCACAGTCGCAGATTTTCAAAGGTATCCAAGACAAAAATACGGTGGTGCCCAAAGATTTTTTTGATGATTTTCAGAGATGAAATGATGGGTTATTTAGGTTAATTAAGATTAGTGTTGTAGCTTTCTGGCAACGGGAGATATTTGACCTCAAAGTTGCAAAAATTTGGATGAATCGAAAAGTCTAAAAACACAGTCGTACATTTGTCTCTGTTGATTGACAAGCCGTTGATCAAACTGACTGATACTCGCAGCAGACATTAACTAAGGATGTAAAAATATGTGTGCAAATCCTCAAAGTAATCGGTTAAATACCAACGCAGCAGAGCTTCATACATTATACCTATTTGAAGCGATTTCCTTGGTGAAAACCAAGAAAACCGGGGGGTGATCTATCGTGCCCCCGGAAAAAACCAAAACAGAGACCAGTCTGTTTTTTTTAATTTTGGGGTAAACCATTTAAACTGACAAAGTTTCACTGAAATCGCTGAGATGGCATGTAGCACGACTGCCCAGTGCTCTCGTGGACACGCTCTTAAGTCACTATCTAGCTGTTTTAAAAAGAAGGATCAGGACTTACCTAACTCTCAGTGTTTTTGTGGGAGTTGTTGATCCCAATTTAAGTGTACTTAGAAGTTTCCGTTGTCTCTAAAGCTAAATAAATCTAACTGAAACCTAATAGGGCCTGTTTATTCTTTTCCGTTTAGTTTTTTTTGTATTGTTTTGTCTTGTCTTCTTTTTTCTTCTGGTCTGTAATGATTTCAATGGTGTCAGGTTCTTTTCTCAGAATTGAACTACAGTAATAGTATGCTTCTTTGTGTTGTTGCCTACAGGAGCCGCTGCTTGTGTTGAACTGAAGAGATTTGAAGAAGCAATCACTTGGTGTGATAAGGGACTAGCTGTATCCTTTGAAGGAATCTTTCATTTTTAACCGTGGGTATAACGGAAAAAAATTTCAATAATTTGATGTTTCAAGGGAGAAAATACAAAGAAGGGTATTAATTATGATGGGAATTTGTCAGCTCATATACTTTAAGTGTGTGTGATTAAAAACATAGGAGAAGTTATTACCTCATGACTTATTAATGAAATTACTCCTTTTAGCCAATTTGACTTAGTTCTACTATCCATGCCAATAACTGGTAGATTAGTTTAAATAACCCTTTAATTTCCCAGACCAAATTTGTAATTATCCTTACTGTCAACCATACAATTCTTGTAATGTTAGTACAGAGAATTCAGTATTGCATCAACTAACTATTTTTAAATTGATATATCTTTTTTACTTTCAACACTTATCTGATTGATATTGTATTGCTATTGTAAGGAGAAATTCTCTTTTGGTCACTCACGGGAGTTAAAGGGTTAGAAGACTAAATTTTATCCAGTTTGTACATAGCACTTGGGTAGATGATCTCTCTAAAATAAGCCAAAACAAAAAGCTCGGTAATGTTTACATATCTTATGCAGATTTTCTTTCCTTCGACCTTTTGCCACTACTTAGAGACTCGGAAACTTTCGTTGTGCTTTCCTATAGACCAATAAAAATTTTAAAGACATAGACTGTTATAGACTCATTTCTTCCACTGTTGTAAAACATTTGTCAGATGTTAAAGCCATATTAATTTAAAATTGAGATAGTGCTGCTCAGTTTTTGGAAACTAGGGATTAAATCTAGACATTGCGCGTTAAATTTTGAGGCTGCACACAGAAAAAAAAACATTTTTTGAAGTGTAGATTTACTTCATAACTGACTTTAAGACTGAATGTTGATAATTCCTCTACCTTTCATGCAAAGCCCTCCTAATGGGCCATTTTATAGTTGTGTACTTAGTTGCCAAGCCTTTGATTTAGAATGAGGCTGAAGGTGACCTTGTTGTGATAGAGACCAGTATCTAGAAACGATAATAACAAAGTAGTTTGCATTTAAAAGGCAGCAAGGTTTTTATCATAACAAGGTCACCCTTAATCATCGCTCTTGTTCAGAGGTTTGGGGGCCAAGCACGCAAATGTTAAAATGGACTATTACATATCAATATGATCAGAAACATAATCTTTTTTTTTATTTCCACATTTGTAACCCTTAACATAAAAAAGATTGACAAAAACAATAGGATCTTGTTGTCATTAAGACTTCAGTCTGTCAGTGAAGTGAGAGATAAATCCATGGAGGAAAAAGATCCTATTAGTCATGACCACGGTAGTGCAAGTTCAGGTGATGTCAAGAAAGTCATAGATCTCTATAATCGGGGAGAAAAAGCCATAGAGTACCAGAACCTAGATCTTAAAATAGCTAAAGAAGTAGGAGACAAGCATGGAGAGGGTAAGGCTTATGGCAATCTTGGCAATACTTATCACCGTTTGGGTGATTTCAAAAAAGCAATAGAGTACCACAACCTACATCTTAAAATAGCTAAAGAACTAGGAGACAAGCATGGGGAGGGTGTTGCTTATGGCAATCGTGGCAATGCTTATCACCGTCTGGGTGATTTCAAAAAAGCCATAGAGTACCACAACCTACATCTTAAAATAGCTAAAGAGCTAGGAGACAAGCATGGGGAAGGTGTTGCTTATGGCAATCTTGGCAATGCTTATCGCTGTCTGGGTGATTTCAAAAAAGCCATAGAGTACCACAACCTACATCTTAAAATAGCTAAAGAAGTAGAAGACAAGCATGGGGAGGGTGTTGCTTATGGCAATCTTGGCAATGCTTATCTTAGTCTGGGTGATTTCAAAAAAGCCATAGAGTACCACAACCTACATCTTAAAATAGCTAAAGAAGTAGGAGACAAGCATGGGGAGGGTAACGCTTATGGCAATCTTGGCAATGCTTATCACCGTCTGGGTGATTTAAAAAAAGCCATAGAGTACCACAACCTAGATCTTAAAATAGCTAAAGAAGTAGGAGACAAGCATGGGGAAGGTGTTGCTTATGGCAATCTTGGCAATGCTTATCTTAGTCTGGGTGATTTCAAAAAAGCCATAGAGTACCACAACCTATATCTTAAAATAGCTAAAGAAGTAGGAGACAAGCATGGGGAGGGTGTTACTTATTGCAATCTTGGCAATGCTTACCTTAGTCTGGGTGATTTCAAAAAAGGCATAGAGTACTACAACCTACATCTTAAAATAGCTAAAGAAGTAGGAGACAAGCATGGGGAGGGTGTTGTTTATGGCAATCTTTGCAATGCTTATCTCAGTCTGGGTGATTTCAAAAAAGCCATAGAGTACAACAACCTACATCTTAAAATAGCTAAAGAGCTAGGAGACAAGCATGGGGAGGGTAACGCTTATGGCAATCTTGGCAATGCTTATCACCGTCTGGGTGATTTCAAAAAAGCCAAAGAGTACCACAACCTACATCTTAAAATAGCTAAAGAAGTAGAAGACAAGCATGGGGAGGGTAACGCTTATGGCAATCTTGGCAACGCTTATGGCCGTCTGGGTGATTTCAAAAAAGCCATAGAGTACCACAACCTACATCTTAAAATAGCTAAAGAAGTAGGAGACAAGCATGGGGAGGGTAACGCTTATGGCAATCTTGGCAATAATTATGGCCGTCTGGGTGATTTCAAAAAAGCCATAGAGTACCACAACCTATATCTTAAAATAGCTAAAGAAGTAGGAGACAAGCATGGGGAGGGTGTTGTATATGGCAATCTTGGCAATGGTTGTTTTAGTCTGGGTGATTTTAAAAAAGCCATAGAGTACCACAACCTACAACGTATAGTAGGTAAAGAAGTAGGAGACAAATTTATGGAGGCAACGGCCTACTATTCATTAGGATGGTTTTTTGAGTGGCAAGGTAGACTGCCAAAAGCCGTTCAACATTACCAAGCTAGCATAAATTTATTCAATTCCTTGAGAGTACTTCTAATATCTAAAGATGAGTGGAAAGTTAATTTTCGAAATCAGCATCAAGCGGCGTATACGGGTTTGTGGAGAGTTCTCGTAGAACAAGGTAATGTAGATGAGGCCTTATTTGTTGCTGAGAAAGGACGAGCTCAAGCTCTGACCGACCTCATGGAATCCAGTTTTTGTTGTGGAACAAGTCACCACAAGGGAGAAGATGAAGATTGCGCAGTTTTAAAAAACGTTCCATCAAACACTGTCTTTCAGGCAGTGGACGAAGCTAACGTCCATCTTTGGGTTGTGTCCGAAGGAAAACAAGTTCAGTTAAGACAAAGTAAACTCAAAGGTTTTGTTTCAGAGAATAGTGGATCTAGCCTGTCCTTTGAGGCTTTCATGCTCGGTGTCTATACACAACTTGGTGTTCGTTCTAATGTGAGATGCGAGAATCGATCTTTAGATGCTTTGAGGGAGGGCCGTTCGAAAGTGGATGAGAAAACCAAAGAAGCCAAGCCTCAACCTCACATCCAACAAGACGGGTGCTTGAGCACTTTGTATGATATCGTTATGAAGCCGGTGGCTGACTTGATTGAAGGGAACGAGCTACTCATTATTCCTGATGGACCCCTGTGGATCGCTCCTTACGCTGCATTGAAGGATGGTAATTCTAAATACCTGTGTGAATCGTTCACAATCCGAGTCGCTCCATCATTAGCAAGTCTTAGACTCATTGCCGATTGCCCAGATGATTATCACAAAAGCAGTGGTGCGTTACTTGTAGGAGATCCGTGGGTATCCGAGGTTACTAACAGCGAGGGAAAGAAAGTCTTCGAGCAGCTTCAGTATGCTAAAAAAGAAGTAGAAATGATCGGAAAAATTCTGAATATCACGCCAATCACTGGCAGTCAGGCCACGAAACGTGAGGTGTTGAAAAGACTCAGTTCCGTTTCCCTAGTTCACTTTGCGGCGCACGGATGTATGGAAACTGGCGAAATTGCTCTTACACCTGACCCAGACCGAATATCTACTGTGCCAACGGAGGAGGATTACATTTTAACAATTGGAGATGTGTTGAATGCTCAACTTCGGGCTAAACTTGTTGTGCTTAGTTGCTGCCACAGCGGCCGGGGCGAGATCAAGGCTGAAGGTGTGGTTGGCATTGCGCGCGCTTTCATGGGGGCTGGTGCTCGGTCTATTGTGGTTTCCCTGTGGGCGATTGATGACGAGGCTACTCTTGAGTTCATGAAATACTTTTATCAACAACTTGCAGGAGGTAAACTAGCAAGCGAGTCACTGAACCTGGCCATGAAAAGCCTCAGAGAATCAGACAAGTTCTGCGACATCAAACACTGGGCGCCCTTTTTGCTGATTGGAGATGACGTCACTCTTGACTTCAAGGCAAAGGAAAGAGAAAATTTGAATATGAAATCACATAAATGAAAACTTTTTTATTTCATCTCAAAATGAATGATGCAGGAACTTGGAAGGTTTAAATGCTTCTCCACTTTGGCGCTTTTTGGCTATTTTTCATTACTTTTCACTTTTTTGTTAAATGGAACTGGAGATGTGTGACTTTACTTTGGTGAAGAAATAAAACAGACTATTTCAGTATATTTTGTTCAGTGGAATTGCTATTTTTTTACCTTTACAAATTTAGATGCTTGCGGAGAGAACAAAATGCAACAAGGCTTCTGCTGTTAATGCCTGAAGTTGTTGAAGGCGACTACGAGGTTTTCGTTTCGCCAAAATGACACTCAGATCTATTCCTTTATTGCAATCAGTTACGTGTAAAATAATTTAAAGGTTTCTTTTCTTGTACACAACCAGGAGCTTGTCCACCGGGTTTTAATTACGTTGATACTCTAAGCCTTTGATAAGCAAAGAAACAGTTTGTCATTTGCAAAAGGTGGTGAAATTTTAATTTCAAAAATGTGATTTGCAAAATTCGCAGCCATATGTGAATTGATCTTAATTGTTTTTCAACGTCATAAATTATTTTGCTGCAATTTTGCAATTATCTTTACAAAAAAATTGATTATCATTTTCAACTTTTTTTCAATCCATTTTAATGCAATCTAATTCCATCAGTGCCAAGATTGCCATTCTAAGCTTAATTTGAAGAAGTAATCATCAGAGGTGATGTTGTTGAATTTACTACCAATATGTTAGAGACATTAGACCTACTATCAGGGGTGTGGCAAGCCTCTAGTCCCGTGGGCCCGGCCTACAATTGTTTTCCGCCCGCTTGACTTTTCTAATATGACTCTTACAAATGTTGAAAACAAAAATTGAAATTTCTCGGGAAAAAGGCCTATAACAAGTCAAAGAGCTGGCTACAACGGCCTGCTTTCAATCAAACGAGTTTGATCAATTTTAGTCCGTTTTATCAAACACTCATCAGTTTGTTTTAGAGAACGACGACAGAGACAAATTGTCCACGTAATCTAAACAAGGAAATAGCGAAGCAGAGTTTACTTTAACTAAAGTTTCCATTGCTGTGACTTTTAATGTAGGTGACATGGAATTTGTTGTTTTCATTAGGAAAATATTTACGCCAAAAAATTAGGGAAACACTTGAAGTAAGCCATGTAGTCCTCAATGGGAATTATTTTGGTGAAAATGTTCATGAATAAATGTAAATCTAGGCCGCAGTTAAAATGGTTCAGGGCTTCAGGATAAAATTTGCATTTTTTTGAAAATTTCCTGTTCAAATTTTTTTAATGGCTTTAAATTTATACTTAGGTATTTAGAGCACGCTTTGTAATTAGAACCCGTTATGTGGTCAAAAGTTTAAGGTATACTGTATCACAGCTGTTTTAAAAGAAATTTGTGTAAAATCAATGTTAATTTTTGACAGATTTTCATAACTACCATTGATATATGCTGCCAGTATAAAATGTAATAGTTAACCTTGCACATGGTTGAATATGATGTAACGTAGGATTTTAAAAACAAGCTGGGGCAATTTCGACTAAACATTCTTTTTATAATGTCAGTGTATTTGATGTGAATTGTTTTGATGCTATTTCTATTTAAAGTTGAAGCTATTTCTTCATTTACCTTAGTTTTTATTCATTAACTCATTAACTCCCAAGTTGTGAAGAAAAATTCTCCCAACTGATAAGAATGTGTTTCTTTGTTGCTTTATTCTGAGAATTCGATGAAACATAACGTTTCTAGTGAAAAATAATCGGCTAGTTTAGATTTTCTCTAATTCTTATTGACACCATGTTTGTCGGTGCATTAATTTTGTGAGGAGAATTTAAGTTATGATCAATCTTGGGAATAAATGGGTTCATTTTAGTGTCTTCGTTTAGCGCGTACTTTACTTAATGCCTTGAACAATTTAATGCAGTTTGTAATATACTTTTTTTACTTTTTTGTGAAAGAGAAATAAAGAGTGTATAAAATACAAAAACTGCCTTTGTTTTCATTGTCTGTCTCCATATTCTAAGGATTCGCGTGAGATGCAGGGAGAACAGATCCTACGGGGACTTCAATGCTTGTTTTGACCCGCGCGCGCCAAGTTGATAATTTTTGCACCTGACAGTGTACTGACATTCCATGTTTCAAGCCCCCCCCGCACTTAACAAACGCTCGTCGACTCTTCGATTGTGTCTCTTTCAATGCCTACCGTTCTCCATATTGGCACACGATTTTGAATGCCGACGGACGTGTTCATACTGTTACCTGTGTACGCCCTTTTTACCTTTTTACACCTTTTCACATTTGTGCATCTCTTTTTTCTCCTTCCTGTTGTTACTTCCCTTTTTTTCATCGTACTTTTCCTTTATTCCCATTTTTACGCGCACTTCTTTCATCGCCCTCAACTTTATTCTTCTACGCGCTTCATTAGACGCGACTATCTCCTTGTTTGTTTCAGTTTTCATTCGTCTCAATCCTAGCGCAACGTCAGGTCTCTTACAACTCATATACCTCCTTACTTCCCCAGAGTAGTTGTTGTTATGCTTTGTTTTGTTCACTTAAGGATGGTGTCCTCTTAGCATCATGTCTAGTAAAATCTTAGTTTTCCTTTCGACTCATTCACAGTCCACAGGGGTCTCAATTTTAAGTCTCACTTGCCAGTGTTTGCTCTCCTCAGTCCTCTCATCACAGTAGCAGCTATAAAACGAAAGAGCTCCCTCCAAGTCTCTGCGACATAATCGATGCACTTTGTCGGAAACGAGTCCTTCAATGTACAAATTAAGGCTTCTTCTATCATCTGATTGGGAATGGATCAAACTCTCGCCCAGGGTCCACATACATCGCGAGTCCAAGATGGCAGCAGGCCAATCCACAGACTTCTCCGAGTCGGTAGCCGTCATCTTGGATGTAGACGCAGAGAGGACCTTGAAAAAGTGTTTTGACAAGACAATTATCAAGAAAGGTTAAGTTATTGTAATGCTTCCTAAGAGGTAGTCGATAACAGCCCGAGAGATTCATTAGGAGCAAACACGTTCCGTCGATTATTGGACTCCATGTCGTTGTAGAACAAACTCCTCGAATACGTACGCCTATATGCCCCTCTCCTCCTCTGCTAAATAGCACTATACATCCCTTTATTGCAACTTTTAAAATTATACAGCACAATACAACATTATACCCCTGAGAAGCACTGTAAATCCGTAAAATGAGGTAACTGTGCAGCGCATCACAACAATACGAACCCCTAAATAATACTATGCTTCCCTCTACTGAATTTTTTTCAGCATACAGCGCTCTATAAACTATTGCTCCAATTTGGCACGAAAATAATTGTGGATATTTGTCCGCGGACATTATCTATTCCAAGATGCCAAAACTGTGAGCTTCGAGGGACAATGTCCAAGGACAAATATCCGAACATATTTTCGTGCAAAATAGAGGCTATTGTGATTTTTATCCTTCAATTATTTTGCAACGCTTGTGAAAGAATCTTTATGAACAGCTCACTGAATTGAATACCACTATACTTCCCTCTTTTGCACTCTACATCACGATACAGCGCTATACAACAATATCTCCCCCTAGATAGGATTATACTTCTCGCTACTGCAGTTTACATCACTATACAGCGCTATACAACAATATCTACCCCTAGATAGCATTATACTTCTCGCTACTGCAGTTTACATAACAATACAGCTCTATACAACAATATTTACCCATAAGTAACCTTGATCGGCATAACAGAAATCGAAATTTTCCATGCTTTGTGTCTCTCTCCAAGGTTCATTAAATACTCGATGAAAACCTTTGCGTCGTTCAAAGAAAACGCAGCATTTTCCAGCGCAGTCGTGACTCGTTTGACGTGAAGACACAGAGATGGCGAGTTGATTAAGGCTTTCAATTTCAAACTCTTAAAGGCGGGAAATATTTCTGAAACAAAATCATTCACGAACATCATTATTAATTCTGAATAATGTAAATTCGATACGTTTACTTTAGATAATAAATTTTACTCCCATTTTGCCAATCATACAAAGAAATCAATACACTAAGCAATGCCTCCAACAAAACACAGTTACACAGTTGTAAATCTCCATCCTCATCCTCAGTAGAACTATGCTATCACAAAGGTGGAATAATCGCGGAGACCTTCCTATATACCAAGAAATTCGTGCCACTGGATTCGACATGTGCCAGTAACCTACTTTCACATTTAACGTTACGTTCAGCTAAGATCAGCAAACTGTTTCTTTTTTTCTTCATTTTAAACGATTCCAATCCTAATAGTGGTATCATATTTGCATAAGAAAGCTAATGTCAACTCGAGACTCTGCATTAATTTTTTTTTGATCAAATGAAACACAACACGACGCTCTTAACGGGCTCAACGAGCTGCCAAAATTCTCTTCAAATCCGTTTTCGTTCGTGTGATAGCTTGACTTCTATTTCGATTTGACAGTTCAGTTTGACAGTTTGACTGTTAAACCTTAGATGAAGATTTGTAGACACCAGCTGAAAAATGGAAAATAATTTAATTAAAGGTTATTTCTTTTACCCAACCAGGGGCTTTTCCACCGGATTTTAATTACCTTCATGCTCTAAGCTTTTGATAAGCAAAGAAACAATTCGTCATTTGCAAAAGTTGGCGAATTTTTATTTCCAAAACTTCGATTGAATATGTATGTGAATTGAAAATGTGAATTGATCTTAGACCGTTTTCTACATCATAAATTACTTTGTTACAATTTACCTTCATCTTTACCAAAAAATTGATTACCATTTTGAACTCAATCCATTTTAATGCAATCTAGTTCTGTCAGTGCCAAGATTGCCATTCTAAGCTTAATTTGAAGAAGTAAACATCAGAGATGATGTTATTAAATTTCCTAATGTTAGAGACATTACACCTACTTTTAGGGGTGTAGCCAGCCTCTAGTCCCGTAGGCCCGGCCCACAATTGTTTTCTGCCCGCTTGACTTTTACTAAAAGATAATATGACTCTTGCAAATGTT